CTAATAAATGCTTTTAGGAGAAAATATGCCTGAAAGTCCTTTTTAGTGTTTCGTTAATCAGACATATGACACTAGTCCTGAAACCAGTCTCCCCCATTAGAAATTTTCCATTGCACCTGAATTGTATTTTTCTTGGAAGGGTTTTAGAATTTGTAGAGATGGAATCAAATCTAGGTGGTTCATTTTTGGGTTGGTTCGGTAGCGGTGGAGGAAGGAGCCGTGATTTCATGAGCATCAGGTCATATGAGGATACCTTAAGTCAGTGGTGGCGAACCTATGGCACGGGTGCCAGAGGCGGCACTCAGAGCCCTCTGTGTGGGCACGCGTGCCGTCGCCCCAGTCCTAGGCCTTCAGCTGGGTTTTATAAAACCTTTTCGCTTTAGGCCTCTGCTGCCATGTGCAAAAAAAAAAAAGGTTCAATCAGTCAATTTCAACTTCTCACGGGAAAAAAAGATCTTGCAAAGTTGGAATTGATTGATTGAACTTTTTAGTCCCACACAGTCTGCCGTTACCACTGCAGCCACACCCACCCAATTGGCCATGCCCACCCAATTGGCCACACCCACCCGGCACTCGACGATGCATAAGTAGGTTTTGGGTTGTAGTTTGGGCACTCAGTTTCTAAAAGGTTCGCCATCACTGCCTTAAGTCTATCCCTCACCTCCCCAGGGAATGCAGAGGAGGCCGAAAGAAATGACTCCTCTCGTGGATCCGCCTTCAATCCCTTTTCTTCACGATTCCATCTTTGAAGCTAAGGCTAATTAATAAATAAGGTCTGGTGTCAGAAGCTGAGTATCAGCTGAGTATCATGGCTTCCGCTGGGAAGTTCCGTTTGCAAGGGCAAAGTTGGTCCTCCTTTCTGATTATTCAATTAACTCTGATGTTAATTGCATTGGGTTTCACTCTGCCTCTCTAGTTCAGTTCCCTGAATCTCAGTAAAAGTGTATCCAAATGACTCGTTCACTCTGTTGTGTGTGCTGTCTGTGCGACACAAAGACAAAAGCTGATACAGGTCGTCCTTGATTTAACAATAGTTCATTTAGTGACCGTTCGAAGTGACAACGGGGCTGAAAAAAGTGACTTATGACCCCTTTTCACACTTACCACCGTTGCAGAATCGCCATGTTCACATGATCAAAATTGGCAACTGGTTCATATTTATAACGGTCGCTGTGTCTCCTTCTGACAAGCAAAGTCCACGGGGAAGCTGGATTAATTTAACAACGGTGTTACTAACTTTTAACAATTGCAGTGATTCACTGAACAATTGTGGCAAGCAAGGTTGTGAAATGGGACCAAAATCATTTAACCAATGTCTCGCTTAGCGACATAAATTTTGGGCTCAGTTGTGGTCGTAAGTCGAGAACTACCTGTAATGCACCCCCAAAAATCCCTCCTTTGCCCTGGTGATTCAACCGTGGTCGTAAGGTGAGGGCTACTTGTAGCAAGCCATTGTGTATTAGCAGCTTGTGTGGTTTTAATAAACGTGACATTTTTACGGGTTTAATCGGTAAAAAAAAATCCTCTTGGCTAGGCATTTGATTTTAGTCTTCCAAAATGCTAAAGCAGAGGATTTTGAATTTGGCCACTTCCCCCCGTGTTTTGGATCTAAATCTTTACATGGCAACATGCAGTTAATCTATGGGCTTTTCATTTCTGAAATGTATTTACATTTTTCGCCTTCTCTCCATTTCAACTTTCAAGGGAGCGCTGATAAAACAGAATAAAATCAGACTTGGTAAAATCTATTTTATGTAGTGTATGAATCTCTAGAGCCAGGTCCATACATCAGTATCATTGCAACCTAAAATGGAATAAAGAGGCAGAGGAAATGCAGACTGTGACAAATTGCACAGGTTGAAATTCTAGAATTCATTTAAGACATTCTCCTGTTTAGACCAACAGCAGGCTGTGTGATAGAGTAAGCCTTATAGCTAAAATAAAGACAAGGGTGATGTAGGGTGATCTGTCCCTATTTCAGTTGGTAACTCAGTTGTTTTGTTGGTCAGGTGTTGTACTGCCTGTGATACCTTGACACAATAATACCACAGATCAGCATTCATCGGGGCCTGAGAATCAAATGATCCCATGAAGCAATGGTAGGTTTGAAAGATTATGAGACAAAACAAGAAACCCAAGAGCAAGTGGTTAAAGGTACCAGGCCTAAAACTGGGTGACCGGGAGTTCTAGTCCTGTCTTAGTCCTGAAGGAGGCAATGGCAAACCACTTCTGAAAAAGTTGCCAAGAAAATTGCAGGGACTAATCCAGGCAGTTGCCAGAAGTCATGACTGATTTGAAGAGGAAAGAAAGAAGGAAGGAAGGAAGGAAGGAAGGAAGGAAGGAAGGAAGGAAGGAAGGAAGGAAGGAAGGAAAGATAAAGTGATTGA